GGAAACCCAAGGAGGGGTGTCTACGATTCAGAGGTGACTCGATGGCACATAACAGTTCTACACATGGTAGGAAAGGCCCTTCTGACGCCTACATATATTGATTTATTAGCCTTTCCTTCACTCATCTTAACATGTGTCGACCCTCCAGTTAGTGGTTTACTCTCCCTTCCCATGAAGTTGTATTTGTTAATGGGTTCTGAGAAAACTGAAAAAAGAAGAGGGGGGAAAAACTCTTAGTTTTGGAGTGTTTAGTCCAGGGGGGTAAAAAAGTGACAGATGTATTTGATCACATGGATGCATTTGTCCTGCTATTCATTGTGCAGTTCTGATTTTTTGGACCTGCATGATAGCTCCCTGATGAATATTCCTTCTTGCAGAGTACTTTTCTTCCCGACCCTAGAATACATTGGACTGATTCTAGAATGCTCCTTAGAAGCGAGGATGATGTAACTTCATGTCACGTACGTTGGACATGTTATCAGAAGAGACTAGTCCCTGGAGAAGGACATGATGCTTGGTGAAGTAGAGGGTCAGTGGAAAGGAGGAAGGCCCTCAGTGTGGAAGACTGATAGAGTGGCGATAGCCGTGTCTCAAGCACAGCAAGGGTTGTGAGGATGGCGTAGGACCGCAGTTCTGTGGCACACGGGGTCCCCCAGAGTCAGAACCAACTTGACAGCAACTAAAAAAAGTGCATAAATGAAGCACGTACCAGTCATGTCACTGTTCTACTTAAGTTTTTAAAGGCTCCACTTTACTTACAGAAAATATCATTTCATGTATGCAAAGTTCTTCCCTCTCTGATCTTCAGCACTCCCTTGTGACATACATCATCCCAAGTCCTTAAAGTAAGTCAGAATCACTTTTTATTGAACACCAATTTCCATCCGTCCATGACCAGAAGGCTTGATAGACACACGTGTATATGCATATGCTTGTTCTTGTACACGTTGTACACTGTCATTGAGTTGAATCTGACTCATACTTGACCCCGTGTACAACAGAACAAAACACTGCCCAGTCCTGACCACGCTCACAATCATTGCTGCGTTTGAGCCCACTGTTGCAGCTATCTCATTGAGGGTCTTCCTGTCTTGTGCTGACCTCCTACTTTACCAAGCATGATGTCCTTCTCCAGACATTGGTTCCTCGTAACATGTCCAAAGTTAGTGAAATGAAGTCTTGCCAACCTTCCTTCTAAGGAGAATTCTGCCTGTACTTCTTCCAAAACAGATTTGTTCATTGTTCTAGTGGTCCACAGTATGTTCAATATTCTTTTGTCAAAACCATAATTCAAAGTCATTGATTCTTCTAAGGCCTGCCTTATTCATTCTTGTACATGTACACACACATAAACAACTAATTCTTCCAAGAATCCAGTGGGGCAGATCAAACCATTATTTTTAAGGGTGAGAATGCTGATGCTTATAAGTTGCCAAATATCTAGTCTGGTGGGCTGAGTTATGGCCCCAAAGCTATCCA